AGCTGAAAATGTAGTTTTCATGCCATATAAATTGCTGCACATAAGAACCCAAGGACAAGCGTTAGATTCCTGACCGCGGCGGCCAATTTTCTGATGGAGGCGAAAAGTAGAAATGCCAGTGTGTTCGAGATTTCGGCGCACGATAACGATCTCCAGTTGGGCGAAATTAATCCGGAGCCCTCCACTACAGCGAACACCTCATGACATGTGTAGTTTTGGCGCATTAAACCCCATTATCAATCAATTACTACACATAGCCAATGAGTGCAGCAATCAGCAGAAGGCTTCAACACTTGTTCAATCGCATTCTGAAAATAGAACCCCATTTCGCAAGATTGCAGCACTGTTTTGCAATGCCTTTTCTGCCTAGTGCAAGTATAAAGCAGTCTACGGCCGGATTAACCATAGAAAACACGACAAGAGCAATGCCAACAAATTATAATTTCGAATGACATTTTCACTTTTGATATTTTGCTAATCTGCTTCAATTCTATTTAGTTTTAGTCAAGCCATTTTGTTTGTTTCCACTGCTGTGGCTGGGTGAGTTTCTCAGCTTCTGCAAAATAAATAATCAATACTCCAAAATCTACATTGGCGAGAACTAGTTGTAAATAGAGACAGTCAAGCGTGAAAACTTGCTGAACACCAAGCTCCCCTCATTCTATCTAGATGTAGTTCCTTCACATTGATCGCAAAGACCTTTACGATATACCATAACTGGCAAAAAGACAATGCGATAAATTCCATACCATGTCAGACGTGGGATGACGCATCGATCCTGTGCAATTTTTCCACACAACAGGGGTTTTTCGCTGTGGTTTGCACAGAGCCGCCTAGTCCAACAAAAACAGGAAAAAAAAAGTACTGCTGCACACGTGATGGGTGACGCAGCCGAAACTGCCGGTGCACAGGCCCCGCCCTAGACGTTCGAGTTGTGAATTCGTCTCCCCTTTAGGGAAAAGAGGTAGAATTATTGCGCCAAGGCACGCCATCTTGGGTTCAAATGTCTTGCGGGAAAGCCACTTATCACCCGCGTAGGAGCAGCGCTCGCACTTGAGAGTATTATAGCGTTGCTTTATTTATTTTTTCGCTTTCTTTACTCTTCTTTTTTTTATGAAAGTACGAGAAAAGCTCAGTTGCTCTAGTCATGGCTGGAAGCCTTGATTTTATGTTTACGTTTTTGGTATGTAACAAGGAAAAAACGTGCATCAGCTCGTTGAACCAGTGATACTTATGTATATTTATAGTAAGCCACACATGAGCTTCGAAATATTTTGCGTTGTTTTTCCCATTTACACGTATAAAATTATTTTTCACACTTGATCGCTATCAAGGGAGTTAGGGATATAATATTTTCATTGCGTTAGGCTCATTCGTTAACTGTGTGAGTTAACGAGCTAAATACTTGTAGTCTTCAACTGAATCGAGCTGAATAGCGATCGAGAGTGGCCAGGCGACGCCTGCATTTCGTGTGGCTCTCGTATTGCGCTTGTATCACAATCACAGCTCACGACAATTAATGTGAATCGTTGTTCAACAACCCTGTCGTGTGCAACATTCTTTTCACTTAAGGTTTCAAAGCCGCATTCAATTCACGAACTAGCAGCAACACCTTGCCGATTCAAATAGTTATAGTTTGAATTCTTCCTTTATTTTTTAGCGTGTCAACCGCCAGACCAATTTGGACGCATGCAGCTGGCACACGCTGGTCAACTCTGCATGTATAACATATTCACTACTGCATCTGTGCTTAATACAAATAGAGCAAGTTTTGCGGTGCTGTGGACAGATTAAAAAAAAAAAAGCCAAGCGCATGGGCATCAGCAGAGAAGTGGAAGAAGGGCACTTGCCCCCCTCAAGCCACATTAGCACTTGCCCTCACACAAGCTAGACCTGTGAATCATTCTCCTTAAACCGCGATGCAACAATGGTTTGCACCCTCCAAGAGAAAATCCTGCAGACGACAACGGCCAAGGGTTTATTCCTTCCGACTGAACACTAATCTTTCCATAGCAACACCTGCTCCACCAGCGTCTAATCGCATAGGCTCTACGTAGTACAATTCAACACAGAATGCATTTGCTGCCGCATTTCTCGTAACCGACAGGCAGCATGGCTACATTACCGAAGAAGCACGGCGAGAATGACAACAGCTGCTGTCAACCCCACTTGATCTGCCCGGAATCTGCGTAGCGTTGGCTTCTCCGCAGTGCAAATGAACCACCTATGACCACGTAATGGCACTCGGCGAATAGCAGCACTGAACTCCTGCAGGCGGAGCGAGCGGCGCCCGGAAAACAGTGGCGCAACTCTGCTACCTAAAGGTAGCATATACAGTAACTCTAGAGCGACCGCTTTGAATAGGTGACGGTCCCGGATTTGAACCCCGGGCCAAGACGAATTTTTCGGCAACTAAGGAGCTTTTTTTCCGAGAAATCCGTACAGATTTCCTCGTGGCTTCGTGCTACAAATGAGTGGGTTTCTCTTTCTCATTTCTGCGGGTTTCCGCAGAACTCATTTGCAGTTTTATTTGTGTTTTAATGTCGTGCCAATTAGCCCCTGCCCCCTCAATGCACACTACTTAATTGTAACAATAGCTGTCTCGCTTGAGTGCAGCAATGATTGATTGTCGATAATAAATAAATACAAATCATTTCGTCACACTGTAACTGGTATCTGTCTTTAGAATGACGATGATATTTGTTGTAAACCATACCTAGCTTTACCTAGAATGATGAAATAAGAGAGGTAGGTGCCATTATGGTGGCACCGGCTACTCCTCTTTTTTTGTAGACAAGGTATGTCGTTATGTCAACTAGAAGGGCACAAAATACCAGTCTGTGCAGCATGCGATGTGAAAGTACACATTAATAAAACTTCACAGGTCAGTTCATTAGTAGGTTCATATATATGTTCCACACACAAAGATAGTTAACCTCACATGACAGTTCAGATTCGCCTAATAGATACATATGTACAAATATCCTCATACAAGGTCACTTCACACTAGATACATATGTACACAATTTTCACATAAAAGGTCAGTTCACACTGAGACAGACAATTATACATATGAGACATACTACATAAATATTACATACTTCTTTTTACATGAAGACGACATCGCATACGGTAGGCCAATATTTCCATAAAATATTTGATTCCTCAAGAAACGTCTTGAAGGCAACAAGTGCTCTTTTCTGAAGACCTGCAGTTGGCCATAGACCTAGTATTTTTGTCATTGTCAAGGGTCTCCTATCTAAAAGTTGCAAATTTCCTCGTAATACTTGCCTGTAGTATTTCATATTTCAGGCACTCCAGAAGCAGGTGAAGTAAATCTTCGTCAGGGTGTCCGCAGGAGCGCTCTGTACAAGGCGCATGCTTTATCCTGTGTAGGAAGTGTCGCGTAAATGCTGTACCAAGCCGTAGGCAGTGAACGAATGTTTCAAATCTTCTATTTTCTCTTAACTCTGATGGGATGCTTAGTTTTATGCAAGGGTAGATTAAGTATAAGTCTGAACTTTTAAATTTTTCGTCGAACCATTTGTCTTTGGCGACATTACAGGTTAGCTGTCATCCGCTGCAGTGACCTGGAATCAATTGAAACTCGATCACCTAGCTCACTTGCTTTTCCTTGTACGCAGCTTTTTTTGCTGCTGTTATTACAAGGCATCGCGCGCGAGACCACGGCAGTGAATGCGCAAGTTGGTTCAGCTTCTTTGACGGCACATGGAGTAGATTCATGCAAAACTTGAATTTATGTTGAAGTAGCTATCAGCGTTACCTCACGTACTCACCTTGTGTCAAAGTATTCCGTTCTGCTATTTTCATTATTAAACCTGCTCTTATAAGATAGTGGGATAACTGCTGCTGATAAAGATGATTATTTTTGCGTGCCATACACTGAATGTCATTCACGAAGTGCATGTGAATGAATATTCTACATGCTTAGATTTATTATTTGTTCAATAATAAATCGATGTGTTCAATGTGAAGTTTAGCCGTTATTCCCGGCACACGACACCGTTATACGAGTGGAAGAACTTCAATCAGTCCACAAGACGTGAGTAAACCCTACCTCGAATATTTATAGATGCAACAGTGAGGACATATGGGTGAACGAACAGGTATGTCAATGTTTCTCGATTGTTTTGTCACCTGCACGATGGCTGACAGGAAATGGCAGAAATGTGAATGAGCTTTCGCGGCAGCTCTTTTCAGTCCCTGCATTATTTTAATCCCTAGCTGTTGACAAAACATGCTACAAAGAGAATTATATGAGCTTGTTTTATATTTCCAGATGTAAGAAATTACAAAAACCATACTGTTGGCTTGACCTTATAAAGACACTTTATGGACAACTTTTAGCATCACACAATAGCAGGGCTATCCGACGGTCGGATAGTTGTCTACGGCTAGTCGTTCAAGATGTTTTTTAGACGTAAAATAACTTTGTGTTTCATGGGGATCGCCTCCTCATTCCCGGGGTTGTGACACCATTGTTGTTATGGCCATGGAAGTTGTATTGTGACTTGACCAAGCAAAGTGTGCATGCATGTAGGATGTTTTTTGTTGGTTGAGTCAGTCAGTCAGTATGACGAATTTAATTATTAAAGTCCCGAGGAGGAGCTCAGAATATACTTTTCTGTCATCAACTCTTGGCTCTGACGCGACCTGTGAAAAGCATCAGTTTTATGCATGCCTTATCAAATCTTCCAGCATTATTTCTGGTGCAGACGTAAGGCCTAGAAAAAGCTTGCACACTCCTGACCTCTGCATTACCTTACCAGTCTAAACTGCAGATGTTTCTAAACATGGTGGCCCGGCGTTCGACGAGCGGTGATAACAGTGTTTGTGGGTGAACTACGATCACAAAAAAAAAAAAAAAAAAAAAAAATAAACAAATTAGGGCGCAGCCTGACACTAGAACATCTTAACAACCGCACTGCATTGAGACACTAACAAAACAGAGATGCCAAGTTGTATGGGAGACAAAGAAACACCTTGTATATATGCTTTATTAATTCATCAACTTCCTGAACTGCAGTGAGAGAAGACAACGCTATCATATTTATTGTGCTTGTTCAGAAAGGGCAAGACCTTCTTCATCGAGCAGCATTTCCACTTCTCTGCGCAGGTCTGCCGCTGCTTCTCCAGCTAGAGAGCAGTAGCGCAAGCTGGCTCTTTTGTTTCCCAAGGAGTGCAGATACCTAGCGTAATCCAGCCACACAGTTTGAAAGAGGCTCGCTGAACATACATTAAGGAAGACAGAGGACATCAGGTTTTCAGCTGCCAGGAAAAAAAATGTGAATAGCTGCACTTCACTGTAGATTTACCATAGGAATTCTGCGATTGCAATAATAAACACTGAAACATACTTGTCATTTCGCTTTCTTTTAGAACCTTTTCTCCAGTGGATGCTTCATGCTCTTAATCAGACAAGAGGAAATATACTTTATACTTCGCTATAAAATTGCAGGAAAAATTTTAGAGCATCACATCTCTTTTCTGCGCAGCACCTCCGATTGGCTTACTCGCTTCACATGCCCTCTCATTGCCTGCCATATCTTTTACAAGCACTTCGGGTGCACGCATGTTGTTAAACGCTTAGCGTGGCCGGATATTTAGCTGCATAGAGTTTTCTAATAATACACTATTGGATAATCTGTCACTAGTGTCTGTGAGAGCTGCAAGCCTGCAATGCATGGTGCTTAAGCCAGCACAGGAATGGATGAAGGATGGATGCTATGAGCATCCCTTGCACTACGGGGGCATGACGTGTGTCACGAGGTCCCAGAAAAACTAATAAAATATATATACTAAAAAACGTCACCCCTTACCCCTTCATCTCTACCCCTTAACGACAAAATGTTTAAGTTTTTTTTTTCCTTTATTGTCTCTTGTCTCTAGCTTTCTGCCCCCAATACTCCAGCCACCTCTCATGAAAAATTCTATGGGAGGACAGTCCTAAGTAGGGGCGTCGTGCTGCGAGAAGCGGGGGACAGAGCACTGAGAGCAGGGTCACCCGATCTCGCCTTTCTCACTTCTATTTTAGTCACTAACTTTGGCTAAACCACAAATTGTAACCTGTAAGTTCGTCAACGTAGACCCTGCCTAATCCTGACACAAGGCATCAGAAACCATATCTGCAGATGAAAAATAGAAAGAAATAAATCACCACCTACAAAGCTGCTTTACAAAGTTGGCTATGTTGACAATTTTAACCCTCTCTGTGATTTATTAGCCATACATATTCACTGGTGATACTCAAAATCTACATGATACGCAGTGTAAAATTAATTTTATGTTGTCACACAATTCACAAACTTAATATTTTATGCGTAAGCAGTGATCACAATTTATGCAACATCACTTTGCGTCGCTAACTTCAAATTTATGAAAACGTCAGGAAACACTGTGGCAATAAAGTGAAGATAGTTAAAGTTTCTTCTGCAGATGAGCCACCAAGCGTACCCAGCAGGCTCGTGTCTATGGTCGGCATAAGAGCGATTTTATGTTTATTTAAAAAAATTTTTCTCTACCAGTTGTACGGCATTTGCAAAATCGTCGTTGTCATTCCGAAAGCTAAGCAGTGAAATTGACAGTTATAGAAACAATATACAACCGCAACACGTGGTTTATTTTGTTTTGTTCTTAGAAGAGAAATAACTATGTTGTATATCATCGCGCCACTTGTCAGACGGGGTATTTGACCGCGCGAAAAATTGTCTTCCTGAGGCAGTTATTCCAAACACAAAGTGTCAGACTCTTTTTTTTTTTTTTTTTCACGAATCGGCTTTCATATCGCACAGCATGCACGATACATCCCGCTGTATTACGCAAGTTTTACACTCACGACAAGGAATCCGCCACGTATACAATTTTCATGTAAAATTCAGTGAATGTGCAGGTTGCACGAGGTCGGTGCACAGAACAAATTAAAAGTCTCATGCCGTTTACCTCTTTATGAAGTAAGGAGCTTCTCGTCGGTGTTAATACAGCCACATTAACTACATTGACCACAGTTTTGAGCCGAGCTACGGGGCTAATCGTTTTGACCAAACCCAGCATTCCAAAATATATTAATAAAACAAAGCGAAAACAATACGAGTGGCTACACAAGTGGTGCTTAGATGTTTTGTAACGGACAGGGCTGTACTTCACCCCTTATGTTTGATCGTCAATCTAACCATGTCCGATTGTCATTTGGCCGAGTGGAACACTAGGCAATCCAGGTATATTGCGGCACTTGTCGATACAGAACTTGTCACGTAACACAAGCGATGTGTACCATGAAGCAACCACAAACGCCGCGTGTTTGGTGATGCGTGCCGCATACTATTCAGATGGCAGTTTCCTTTTTTATTGCGTTAGCAATCATATGGACACTCTTGGCTGGTTTTTGCCACCGGCGTCCTCGTCACTCACCGTATATGTATACGTATTTATATATATGAAAACGCAAGAAAGAAAAATAATCCAGAAAAAGACTACGGCATATGGAATCAAAGGCCTGACTTCGTTCGTGAGTGCGCAGCATTAGCCACTGAGCCATGAAGGAGCACCTCCTTGAACGCTGAAAGAGCAAGCTATTTATATCTATTACAGGGGAAATAGAGTGTTTTCAGCATTACCAGTGAGATGCTGCAATGAGCCCTTTTTTTTGTCATTTTGTGCATCAGAAACGCACTGCACGTTTCGATCTGCATGGCGTTCTCAACGTTACATTCCAAGTTGTAGCTACCGCACTTATTGCTCCCCCCTAGCGGCTAAACCACTACTTTTTTTTCTGCATTTGTTAGAACAACCAAAGAGGCACGGTGGCTTCCTGTTGACCCTTCACTCGCTGACATCGCCATAAAAGAGAAAGAAAACCGCAGTTCGATCTAAAACATGCTAAATTGTAAGGCAACGCCGCTCATCCAAGCACCAGCCAGTACGCTCCGCACTGCCGGCACGCTTCAGAAAGGAAGAAAATGCTTGTTACCAGTCCTGTCCTCCTCGCCCGATTGAACAGTCTATAACCTCCCACTGAATTGGAAATGTCAAGTCAAGATGAACGACAAGCAAAGTTTATGCTGGGCCATATTTATGCTCTAATGAACTTTTTTTTATGTAGATAATGAGCTAAGAGATCCGCATGTGCTGGAAACGCACTATACCATGATGTTTACGGGCTGTATAGTATGAGGATGCTGGCGAAGGAAAAAAAAGAAAGAGATCGATAATTGTCTTGGGCGAGATAACGCTAGGGGCCCAAGCTCGCCCTGCTGGTGACGCATCAATTGTAGCCAGGTCAAAGTAAATTAAAGGTTGTCATATTATATGGTGCGCGCGGGTTGAAATGTGCAAAAAAAAAACAGTACGCCGTGCGGTGGCGACTTGTGTGACCTTTTGAATGTGTGCGCCGGGCGGGCGAATCGCGTATGTGCCGTGCGGAGGCGACTTGTGTGGCCTTTTGAATGTGTGCGCCGTGCGGGGGCAAATCGTGTATGTGCCCTGTGATGGCGAAGAGGCCAGCGATCGTGTGCACAGCGTGTCTCGAGACAGCGTGGGCCGTGCACGAGAGTCGGAATTGCAAGGCTGGGCTCTCCTTCGCTGGGCGTCTGGTCCATGGGAGAACCCGGAGCCCTACCTCCTGCTGCCTCGACTTAGAGCGCTCCCGCCTGTTCCGCTACGAGGAGATCGGGCCAGGGAACGTGCACGAGGCCGGGCCAAGGTCTTGACGCTGTGGGCAGACGGGCACACTCAGGGTTTGGCCTACGAGCACGCACAGGCCGAGAGCGTCCACCGTGGAGCGGGTTCCTTGGGCGCAGAGTCCACAGAGTAGACCTTCTTGAACTTCACGCGGGCAGACCAAACACCGAGCTACAGCATCGGACAGATGGTTTACGCACCGCGTCTTCAACTCGGCAACTTCATCGGCTCCGACAACAAACTGTACGCTACTGCTTGACTATTTCGCGTAACAGCCCTCATGTCAAATTTAACTGTTTTTCCCTATTCGTTGAGTCCTGTCGTGTCTGTAAAGGTGTCTTACGCGTGTTCGTCCACCTGCGTGCTACGTTCTTTCTGGAGCGAATCCTGAACCCAGGATAACATTACAAAGGTGCCTTTCTTATCACCCATCTCCATGTTTTCTGTGGAAGTATACATGACATAAGAATTTGCCTCGGTAAAACAACAGATCACTCTATAGCAAACGGCTGATCACCGACTATCCAACGATTGAAAGGGCACCAGTTACTAGAAATCGGCGCATGCAAATACACTTTGTTTTAAAAGACGCACTTTCGTGCTCTGGGCATTGCCAAATTTATAAACTGGCACCATCGAATAAGTATAATGCTTTGCCCGGATCCTAGAGCACAAGAACATAGAAGAATTGAACACTGTGAGACAGGATTTGTCAGGATTGCAATGGCACCCACCACAAATATGATATCCAATAAACTTCTTTCAATGTTAAATACCTTTCAGGTTTAAAAAACAAGCCACATATAAATTGTGCCTACCCTACTACAAAAAACTTCTGGCAGTGGCGGTCACATCAATGTTCGGGAAGAGCAGCGATATAGAAAGGGTGCGTACTCATCCGAGTATTCAAGTCAGATCGACATCTTTTGTGGTTTGACGTAAACGGAGGCCCCCTGGTGACATTGCAGAGGTCAAGGAAGTATTGCCGTCGTCAGAGAGTATTTGCAGGGCCCGCACAATACCCTGCCTGGTACCCGACTAAGACTATTGTTCGTCACCTCTCTTGCTCTTATAGTTAGCTGCTCTCACTGTGGTTTAGGCTGCTTACGCCAGGAATGCTTTTCTTTTTTCTGAGAGAGACGCGCTCAAAGCACCCGCATCGTTTCCTTCTTCACCGCCCGTGGGTCATTCTATTTGAAAATAGCGTGTTTAGCGCCACTGAAGCTTGAGCGCTCGTAATCTTAGGCACTGCCCTGCTGTGGGACACTAGTTTCTGACACAAAATCATTCAGAATTAACGATGCTAAAATTAATTATATGATTCATTAGAGAATTTGATTCAACTTCGGCATTACCAGATGTAAAGCTACAGATTACTGTAAAAAGTTGCAAACAAAACTATCACTTCCAGGGTCCTTTAAAACAGAAATATTAGTTCTTTTTACTATCTCTCCCTGCTCTATTTGAAAGTTTCCTTGGTGCAAACTTCCCACCATCCTCAATAATAATTATTAAGCATTTACATTTTACAGGCACAACAGAAATAAATT